TATACTACTACTACTCTACTACTACTACTACTACTACTACTACTACTACTACTGCTGCTACTACTACTACTACTACTACTACTACGACTACGACTACTACTACTACTACTACTACTAATACTACTACTACTACACTACTACTACGACTACGGACTACGACTACGACGACTACTGCTACTACTACTACTACTACTACTACTACTACTACTACTACTACTACTACTACTACTATACTAGTACTACTACTACTACTACTACTACTACTACTACTACTACTACTACTACTACTACTAGTACTACTACTAGTCATACTACTACTACTTCTACTACTACTACTCCTTCTACGACTACTATTATTACTACTACTACTACTACGACTACCACTACCACTACGACTACGACGACTACTACTACTACTACTACGGCTACTACTACTACTACTCTTACTTCTTCTTCTTCTACTACTACTACCACTACTACTACTACGACTACAACTACTACTACTACGACTACTACTACTGCTAATACTAGTCATCCTACTACTACTACTACTACTATTATTACTAGTACTACTGCTACTACGACTACTACGACTACTACTACTACTACTACTACTACCACTACTGCTACAACTCATACTACTACGACCACGACTACGACTACGACTACGACTACTACTACTACTACTACTACTACTACTACTACTACTACTACTAGTACTACTACTACTACTACTACTACGACTACGATTACTATTACTACTACTACTACTACGACGACGACGACGACTACTACTACGACTACGACTACGACTACGACTACGACTACGACTACTACTACTACTACTACTACTACTACTACGATTGCTACTACGACGACGACTACTACTACTACTACTACTAGAACTACTTCTGCGACGACGACTACTATTACTACTACTTCCAGCCCCGCCTCATGAGTTGGTCTATTTATCTGTCCTCTTGCTCCAGGAGCTTGCCCTCGAAATTCGTAACGAGTTTCTTGAAGCCCTCGTTAGTCTTCCAGTGCGCACGTTGTGGTGATACGACAGCCTTCCCGTCCTGGTCCGCTTCGTATCTCGCGTCCTCGGTCCAGACCCTCTCGCGTCATGGAATTATGAGAACGGAAGGTTTTTGTCAGGATGAAGAGCTGGTCCCCGTGAGGGCGTCCAAGGAGCCCACGTTGCGAACACAGAGTGCGGCGCCGGAGGTCTGGGGAGGCACTCGGCAGACTGCGGGCTCTGGGGGCTGCTCTCTGGCCCCAGGGAGTGTCAGGAAGCAGTTCGGCAGGAGGAGGTGGTCCCGGAGGACGGCCCCGGGGTCCAGCACCATGTTCCTCACCACCCACCCAACCACCCCAGCCCAACCCGAAGGCTTCAAATTGCCATCCATCTCCAGTGGGGGGGTGGTCGGGGAGCATTGCAAAAACATGTGTTACCCGTACGGCCCCCTACCCGAAATTCGGGTCAGATTCGGGTCTCCGGGTTGGGTCGGGGTGGTCTGGTAGGTAGTCAGTTCCCACTGGCACAGGGTGGAAAGAGGACAGAAGACCTCCCCCGTGGTGTTGCCCTTGATCCTCTCTTATCTGATGCTCGACAGAGAACTGCATGTGCATGTAAGCTTCCCAGAGGTCTGTGCGGATTTCTTGGATCGGCGCTGGATCCCCCCGCATGCGCGCGGGGCGCGCCAGGGGCGGCACTGGAGGCGCCGCCAGGGGGCTCCAGCGCCGATCCAAGAGACCCGTGCCGACCTCCGAAAGCTAATGCTTATGTTGTCTTGTGGTTCCTCCACAGGCGCTGGCGAGCAGCACCAGGCGACGCAAGTTGGTGCCCAGAAGGCCGGGACGAAAGCCGCGGGCGAGGCGGCCGCCGCTGCAAAGGGCGCCAGGCCCAAGCGCAACGTGGTGGTGCCCGCGAGGACACGGCCGACGAGGGCGCAGCCCTTGTCGAACAACCGTTGTGAGGCCGTGTGCGTCTCCACTGAGCTGGATTTGGAGCGCATTCAGGCCGCCTGGGATGAGGCTCGGCACGACCGAAATGGAGACGTCGAGGAACAGAAACACTGTCTAAGCAGACACAGGCGCAGCTTCGCTCATCGGGCTCTCTGTCAGTGCAGCCGCGGGCGTTGTCCCGTTGTGGCCCAAGGTCGCCTGCTCAACAGCGGCCGGTGTCGGATTGGGACAGCATTCGCTGCCGGGATTGTGTCCCCTTTGTTTTCGTACCCGTTTCGTGCGTGGTATGAGGCCGTGGAGCAGGGCGTTCTCCCACTGGCGCGATCGAGGCGTCTAAATTCGGACGTGTGCTTGGTGGACGTGGATGCCAGCGAGCGCTTCTGCTTTATCTTCAGCTTTGGCTCCGTGGTTTTCTGGGGCTTCGATTACAGCGAGATTCGACGTGTGAGGCGCATGGTCCGTCGCTCGACCTCGTCTGCGCTAGAAGTGGAGGACATCGAGAGCGACAGCATGTCCTTCATCACCACCTCCGCGTTCGGCCACACTCTGTCGGATCCAGTGCTGCCAGACCCATACCAGGTCGGCGTGGACGGCGAGGATGAGTTTGCGCCGGAAGAGCTGGTGAAGTCGGGGATGAGAAACGACCACGTGTATCTGAGCACCACCTCCTGGGCTGAGGCCTTGATGTACAGCTACGCGTTTGCACAGAGCGTCAAGCTGGCTGTCTTCGAGAAGCTAGTGGACACGGCAATCGACACGGCCGTCCCGATCCCAGAGGCACTTGCACAGTATGGAGCTGTCCAGGTAAACGAGAAAGAGGTCAAGGTTCAGATGGGCGAGATTTTCGTCACCAAATGCTCCTTGACGCTGCAAAGCGATATCCTGGATACTCCTGAGATCATTTGGGAGGACGACCGGTTTGGTGACCAGGCGAAGGACCTATACCAATCTGCGAGGAGGTATCTCGAGATCGGAAAGCGGGTGGACATCCTGAATCAACGTTTGGAGGTTCTGAACGACCTTTACACTTTCTTGCAGTCGCAGATGGAGGCGGCCCATGCCAGCAAGCTGGAGTGGATAATAATCGTCCTCATCGTGCTAGAGATCTTGCTCGATCTACTCAAGAGGCTTACGCCATCGCCGGCCCTCGGTCTATCGGTTGGGGCCCTCAGGGACTTGGGAGTTGCTTATCCTCGTGCCTTTCGTTTTCTCTACCCCCTGTGTCGAACCCTGTGTCCAGGGGAGGCTGCAGCACCGCTCAACAATGTGCTGTCGACCAAACCTGCAGGACGGGCCCTTTCTATTTTACTGTGCACTTCAGCTTCGGTTTCGGCTTCAGCTGTGTGTGCACAGCGAAGGGCCGTAGGGCCAGCTCACCCGAATTGTTTTTTCCGCTCACATGAGTGCCTTCCCCCCCCCCTCTGCTCTCTCCTCTCACCCCTCGTGCCCAAACCGGAAGCCTATTCAGGGTCAGTGTGCACTTCGCAGTGCTGAGGCACCGCCCGATGTTCTGAAAAAGATCCCGCGTCCTTCCGTCTTCCCTAGCACATGTCGCCCGATGCTGATACCAAATAGAGGATGGTCGGATGTACTCAGTTACGCTTCTCGTAATTTTCAGCAGCCCATAAAAAAATGCCCTACAGTGTTGCACGTAGAGAGACGCCTGGGAGGCCTCTTGGAGTCATCCTGGATTTCTCTTGGGGCCCCGTCTGGGAGCCGTTGGCGGCTTCTTGGGCTTTGGGGGGTCCTCCTTGGGGGCCGCGGAGGGGCCATCCTGGAGGGAGGCCAGCGATCCGAAGGTCTTGAGTTAGCCCTCGCCCGCTCGGAGCCCGAATGTTGATTGATTCTGCGTGTTTGGAGTGCTCTTGGGGTGCTTTGGGGGGCCGTCGGGCTTGTCCTGGATTGCTTGTTGCGTGTGGATCTCTTCCGTAGATATCTTGGCCGATCTTGGGTTTCGCCTTGAGGTTCGGAAGCCCATCTGAGCCGACAATGCGAGAAGGCAACCATCTTTGAATAAACATTTGGCTGTTATTTGTTGTTGGCCTCTCGGGCTTCTCTTGGGGAGGCTGGGTGGCCAGTTGCGGTTTGGCCGCGCAGGAGCCTTCATGAGGCTGTGTTGGAGGGCACCTTGTGTATCTTGGACGCGTCCAGAGGAAGATCTGGAGACTCGGAGGGCCCGAGAGTTGCGCCGGAGTGCTCGCCCCCCATCCCCTCCCTCCCCCACTCCCTTAGACGGCCTGTGTTCGACCCCCGGAGAGGGGGAAGAGGGAGTGGGCGTGGTCTGGGGCGTGGTCAGGGGCGTGGTCTCGGGCGTGGTCAGGGGTGTGGCCTGGGGCGTGGTCAGGGGCGTGGTCTGGGCGTTGTCTGGGGCGTGCTCAGGGGCGCGGTCAGGGGCGTGGTCTGGGGCGTGGTCTGGGCGTTGTCTGGGGCGTGGTCTGAGGCGTGGTCTGGGGCATGGTTTGGGGCGTGGCCACCCCGTATCGGCCCCCCGGCCAGCAGGGGGTCCTCGCGGATTTCACATGTCGCCCTGGTTTTCCACGCGGGCATCCGCCGTGGTCGCAGGCGCGCTGATCATGACCATCGGCATGGGCTTCCAGGGCAAGGAGGAGGGGTTCCACTTCCCGCTGCGCCTGAGGCGCATCTTCCGCGGCACTTCCAGCCATTTTGGGGCGGACGCATGGGGCGGGGGGGCGATTGGGCGAGAGGGGGTGGCCGAAATCTGCTGCGTGTAGCTGGTTTCGCCCCCGCCGCCGGGCGCCTCCAGCGCTGGGAGGCGCCGGGAAAAACAGCCGCATGAGCTGATTCGTTTGCCCCCCCTCTCATACGCACTGTCGATTCCTGATCATTCGAAAGTTCTTTGAGTTTTTTGGGGGCCAGGATCCTTGCATTTCTAATTTTTCTATCCTGGGCCTCTGACTGTCCACTAGGGGGCCAGGAACAATTAGCAACGACCACAATTAGAAATGAGCACGATTAGGATTGAACGACGTGTACCCCTCCCCTTCGTCTGGCCCGATCATCTCAGGAGGATCATGTCGTGGGGAGCAATCCTGTACGGCGCCAGGCTGGTGCTCCAGGTGATGGGCCGATCTCCCACCACCAACCACCACTTCGATAGGAGAGCGAGGAGGAGCAGGAGGAGCAGGAGGTGGCGGAGCAGGAGGAGGAGGAGGAGCAGGAGGAGGACCTCCCCATCCTCCCATATCCCTCGTCCTACCTAGTGCAGCGGTGGTGCTAAATTGGACCATCGCCAGGGGCTGACGTACGGCGCCAAGCTGAGGCTCCGTCCGCTGGCGTTCTGCAGGGTCGCTCCGCCCCCCCGCGCGGCGCAGCCGCGCCCGCCCGCGGCCCTCCGCCGCGACAGCCTGGGGGGCCTCTGCGCCACCGAGCGCCTGCAGCTGGCACCCGAGCAGGCGCAGCTGGCCAGCTCAGGGGCAACGACAGGGGACGTAGGCATATGTTTTGGGGCACGCATCGTCCTCCGATCGCCCTTGGATCTCCGCCCGACCGACCTGCCCGGAGCGTGCGGATTCGCCACGGGGGGGCTATCGCCGATCTATCGGCGATGTATCGCCGATTCCAGGTCGATGTTTCCCGCTCTATGCAGCCCCCCTGTATCGTTGCCCCTCACCAGCAGATGCGCAGACTCACGGGGCGCCCCGCTGGCTGCGGGGCAGCGCTGGATTGGTTCAGGCCTGCCAGGTGGGGCCAGAAGCAGGTGGGGCCGGAGGATCGCGCCGCTTCGCGAACGCATCACCGGTTCGGTGCGGCCCTGCCACCTCTACGCGTGCCATCGCCAACACTGCGGCGATGCAGCGCGATCGTCTGGGCCGATCTGCCCCAAAGATCCGACAACATTATCTGTTCAAAACGGTGTCCCCGAAGTCCCGACCTTTTTCCCTTGGGATCGAGCCGTTCTCTCTGGGTGCGTTTGCCGTCGGCTTCGCTCGTCGGGGCCCTTGTGACGAGGGCGGCTGTTCTGCCCGCTGCAGAAGACTCGAACCAGGAAAGGGCTCCAAGCAGGACGGGGGAGTCTTGGGGCGATGGCTCAGGCCGTCCTCCTGGGCGCCCCTGGGACGCCCTGGGCAGAACGCCTCCTCCTTGATTTCCCCCCAGCGAGAGGAGGTGCCGACCTTGTTTGTCGACGTAATGGAGAATGACGATTAATAAATGACCGGGGGTCGTGTTCACGCGCCGGCGCCCGAGATGATGATTAGAAGAACCGGCCCCGGGCTGGGAAACTATTTTTTGATCGTCCCCCCCCCGCCGTCCTCGGGCGCGCGCCCCCCCCCGTGACGAAACACCGCACAGGCGAGCCCTGCTTCTGAGCGGCCCCCCCCGGTGTGGGAAACTATTTTTTAAACTATTTTTTAATCGTTCCCACCTCCTTTTGTTCTTAATCGTCATCCCACATTAGCCCCCTGGGCTCGTCGCTCTCCCTCCGGCCGCAGGCGCCGGCCTCGCCCTCGCCTCGGCCGCCGCGCTGCGCGGCGCGGCCGCGAGCGCGCCGCGCCGCGCCCCGCGGGCGGGGCGCGGCGCGGCGCGGCCGGGCCGCCGGCCGCCCGGCGGCCCCGGGGGCGTCCAACGAGCAGGAGGGGAAAAAGACACACATCGGGGGCGGAAAAGAGGGGGGTGATGACTAGGGGGGGGTGGACATCATGGCGGGGGCCATGATACTTCCCCAGATTTCATGGCGCCTCTTCTTGTTTCATTACGTCCCAGGTCCCCCCGCTGGGCCGCGCACATGCCGCCGGTCATGATTTGCACCCCCCCTCTTGGACACCCCCTTCTTGGCCGCTCACGAAAACAGACACAAGTAATCGTCGATCCCCAGGAAAATATGCGAAACCATGGGAAGGGGGGTGGAAGGCAGAAACCCGGAAGACATGGGAAGAGATGGGGAACAGTTTTATTTGTGTGTATGTATTTGTGTGATCTGGGGCCCCTTTAAACAAGTCGACCAGTCATAAGTCAGCCGCTCGCAGAGGTCGACTGCACGCAAGAGTGCCCCTTCGCCAGAGTGGCCTTTGGTGCGGGTCCGCAGGGGCTCTCCCAGCATCGGCCAGCACGGTTGCAATTGGCCCAATCGCGGCCCCCGAAAGCCGCACACCAAAGGTCACTTCTTGCCACGTGTAGCCGAAGAGGGACGTCCAAAGAGTCGATTACTAGTAATGAGGTCAATCACGCGCAGAGCAGCGCTCGGACGTGTGCAATTTTTTCCGGCGGGGACCATCGAGGAGCATCCTGGATCATCGAGCACAAAGAGTCACGCGCGAAGCTGAGACATGCACGCGGAATGGGCGTCCGAGCGATGTCAGAGGAGGGGGGTGACCGGGAAGGGCATCTCTGAAGCGCACCTGCTTTTCAGAAAGCGCGGACCTTGTCCAAGGGCGTCCAACGGCCCGGACCCCCGCGCGCCGTGAAGAACAATCACGACGGCAGGACCTGCGGCAGCTTCGGCCTCCCTTGGGCCCGTGTTGGGCCCTGGGGTCGTGAAAGCACAACTCATGGATCCAGACCTCTGGGGGTCGACGTGTCGGAGGTGGACAGAAACTCGGGGTTGGACAGACCTCCTACCCTGACACGTCGATTGAGGAATTGGCAGTTTTCGTTTGCGAGAGGGCGTCGCGGCCGTCATTTTTGCGGGTCCAGGTCCGTCGGTTTCGGTCCCAGGCCGTTTTCACTAAGGGGAGGTTTACTAAAGGGAGGTTTGTCCACCGCCGAGAAACCCCAAAAGTGACACGCCGATTAGTGAATTGTCCGTGTTCGGTTCTCGAGAGGGCGCCGTGGTTGTTCTTTTCCAGGCCTGCGGCGCCCGCCAGGTCTGGGCCTCAGGTCGTTTTCACGAAGCCACGTTTTACTGAAGGGATGTCTGTCCATCCTCGAACGTTGCAAAGAAAATCATGACGTCGGGTGTCTTGCAGGGATGACCTATAACTTTCCGCCAGGGTTTTGTGTAGAACACGCCCCCCCCCCCCCCCCCCGAAAGTTTTGCATGATGCCAGCAGGTTTCGGTTCCACATTTAGGCCCTGGGGCGTTTCCCAGGACTTGCTTTCCAGACCCCCAGATGGTGTGCGAGCAGGTCAGGTCGGAGGATCGCGACACATCGCCGATGCATCTGCGATGCGGCGCGATGCGGAGCCAGATCTCCTCTTCGCCGACGTCGCCGATGCATCGGCGATGCGGCGCGATTCTCCGACTCCATCCACTCCGACCCCATCCAGGAGGCCTCTAGTCCGAGAGGTGGGCGAGGACCACTCTTTGACGGGCCCTGGTAACGACAGGGCAGCTGTTCTACCATCCCCGTTGTTGCGTTATATGTCTGTTTCCAGCGACGTATGCTTCTCAGGTTTTCTGGCGCTCTTGCTCTAACAGTTTCGTTTCCTCTTATGGGGGGCTGGTCCGGATCAACGCTTTCTTAGCAGATCCGCACAGATCTCGCACCAGTTCCGAGCGTCCGTCCTTCGGATCCCAGGACTGCCCAGAAGCGTTCGTTGTTTTTGGGTGTCTTTTCCACTATCACGGTGTTTGTTTTGAACAGGCGGCGCAACAAACGCCCTGCCGCTTCCAGGGCCCACTGAGGACCGCCCTGAGATCTTGGCGTTGCATTTTTTCACAACGGGCGTTCTCGGCCATGTTCGGGGCCCGGAGCCCTCATGGATCGATCCCGCTCAAATGACGACATGCATAGGAAGTCGGAGCCTAGACGGCTCCAGTCGTGTTTGGTGGCGATGCTACATTCTGGGGGCAACGACGGACCTCGGGACAGGCGGGGGGGGGTTACCATGGACGGGGCCATGGCACAGTCAAGACGCTCAAGGAAGGAGACTTCCGGGTTCAGGAGAGGAGCCTGTGACTTCGGGCTGCCCCTCAAGTCTTGGTCGTGGCGCCTCTTCGTGGCCCAGGCTCGCGGTGGCCAGGAGGCCCCGTCGGTCCTTACTCACGTTCCTCCTGGAAGCACAGTGGCAACTCCTGGGAGATTGAATTCAGAACCGGCGCTAGTGTATCACGGCAGGAACCAGATTGCGCTCAATCTCGTTAAACCTTGCTTAATCGGACACAGTCCTTTCCACTCTGAACTAATTTGGCTCAGTCCCAGGGGTAATCTGGCCTGATCTGGCTCAGTGGCACCTCAATCGGGCTTACTCGTCCTCAATCTTTCTTTCGAAGCTGCCAGGAGCCGCCTCCTAATACTTTTCGTCGCCACGGAGGGCATCGACTCGCAGAGGCCTGAGGAGCAGTCATATCGGTGTCTTTCTGTCCCCACAGGCCCGTTGCTACGCGCGGCGCCGTGGAGGGCCCGCTGCTGCCTCCGCGCGGCGGCGTCGGCCGCGCCGGCCTCGGCAGAGGTGTGCGCCACGGGGGGGGGGGGGGAAGGTCCGTGCTGAGAGATAACGGGTCCTGCAATGGCGGCCCTGGAATTAGAAAGGGAAGGGGATCTCCCCTTCCCTGTTCTGGCTCTGGGGGGGGACAGCGCTCCCGGCGGCGCGAAATATTCATAATGTTCTCCCTCCCGCGGTAGCGACTCGTGGCCCCGAAGCGGTACAACAAGCAAGCAGATCCTGGTCTCAGACTCGAGCCCAGGGGCGTTCCTCAGGACCGGATGCCCAGGCCTCCCGCAGAGGCTCCGAGCAGGTGGGGTCGGAGGGTCGCGCCGCATCGCCGATGCCTCGGCGATGCGGCTCGATGTGGGGCCCGACTTCCTCCACGCCGACGCTGCCTCTCCCTGCGAGCCGTCGCTGCTCCGTTGCCTGGAGCATCACGTGGCGGGCGGTGCGGCACTGGAGCACGTCCGCGACCCCTCGCCCCTCGGGCAGTCGCTCGTTGAGCTCGGCTCCCGACCATAGGAGGGGGAAAGAAACACACAGACACAATTAATCCTCGATTTCCCAGAAAATATTGGAAAATATGGGAAGCGGGGGGGAAGACAGAAACCCAGAACATATGGGAAAATAGAAGGGATATTTTGTTATTTGTGTGTGTGTGTATTTATCTGCGTGTCCTGGGGCCCCTTCAGACCACCTTTCCCGGAGAGAGTGCCTTCGACGGCCGACCTGATCCAGGCGACCCAGGCTCCTCCTCTCTCCTCCTCCTCCTCTCTCCTCCTCCTCCTCCTCCCCCTCCTCCTCCTCCTCCTCCTCCTCCTCCTCCTCCTCCCCAAGGCATCTGGGTCAGGAGCGCCTGCACAGGTGCCCAGGGCGACAGGCGCCCAGCTCCTACACCACCTGCATGCCTCCTCTCAGAGGCATCCCTCTCACATCTTACCTCGTTTCTGATGGCTTCTAGATGTCGCAGTGTGGGCTGCTGGCTCCTGCTCGTGCGCGTGATGGTCGGCAGCCGTCTTCGAGTGCTCCAGTACAACCCCTTGCACGCATCCAGCGGGGAGAGGCTCACAGCGATCGCACAAGCCTGCCGAGCCTACGACTTCGTGTGCTTGAACGGCACGACCGCCAAGGGTCACGGACGTGAGAGACCCTGGGAGGCACGCTGGCGGAAGGCAGGAGATCACAATTGGTGCATAGAGAGTGGGTGGTCTCGTGGGCCGTATACCAACAAGAGTGCGGGCTGCAGCATCATCCTGGGGGCCAAGGTGAAGAAGGCTTCCGTGACGCACACGTGGACCCCCGCTGGGTCCCTCGCGGGGCGTGGGCTCGCGCTCCGCGCCAGGTGCTCCAAGTACGACCTCGGCGTC